AAGCAGCAAGGACCTACAAGTCATACTTAAGGGCATAGAGTCCGAAGTATCGCTAAGACAGTCTTCAATATCCTAAACAGGGATAGAATGCCGCAGCCACTCTTTAAGGTTGAGCTCGAACCAGAAATTAAGCCCCTATAGAAATACGAAGTGCACCCTATATACAATCTTCAGTTCCTGCTGCACCGCAGTATTACGGCTGAGGAGCCGCACAAACTCAATGGCCCGGTACAATGCGCGAACTGCCAAGAATTTGGCCATACAAGGTCTTACTGTAAACTGCGCCCGGTGTGTGTAGTTTGTGGTGAGCTTCATGACTCCGCACACTGCCCAGCGAGCAAAGATGACCACAACTCGAAAGAGTGCGGCAACTGCGGTGAAAATCACACTGCTAACTATAAAGGTTGCCCAGTTTATAAGGAGCTGCAAAGTCGTATCCACCAGAGGGGAAAAACTGCCCGCACCCAAAATAAACAGTTGATAGCCTCTAGGCCAAGCCCTGAAGTCTTCTTCTCGACTGCAGCCAGATTCTCACTAGGACCCATAAACTCTACCAAAAATGTTACATACGCAAGTGCTTTAAAATCAGGACTGTCTACCCTAGCCTCAAAAAGCTCATTGCCGCAATCAGCATACCACCGAATACGGCTCAGCAACATCAGCCGCCGGAGCAGCCAAAAAGTAACTTTGAAGCTATGATATGTAATATACAACAAAGCCTTACGGAGTTTATGTCGTTTATGCGTACAACAATGCAAGATCTGATGCGAAACCAAAATCTATTAATACAAATGCTGGTTTGACAACAATCCAAATAATGACTTCCCTACGAATATCTACGTGGAACGCTAACGGCGTTTCGCAGCATAAACTCGAGTTAGCGCAATTCCTACTAAACAATCAAATCAACGTAATGCTGCTTTCAGAAACAGATCTTACAAACAGATACACTTTCCAACTACGGGGATATTCATTCTATGGAACAAACCATGCAGATGGTAAAGCACACAGCATACAGGCCACATCCATAAATATACTCCTAAATACTGGCAAGCAATTAACGCTAGCCGCCGTATACTGCCCCCCACGCTTCACAATAGCCGAAGATGAGTTTATGCAGTTTTTCAACTCACTCGGAGACCACTTCATAGCAGCAGGAGGCTACAATGCCAAGCACACACACTGGGGATCTCGTCTTGTGACTCCAAAAGAAAAGCAGCTCTATAATGCAATTATCAAAGCCAAGAACAAGCTCGACTATGTTTCTTATGGCACACCAACATACTGGCCGGCAGACCCAAAGAAACTTCCCGATTTAACAGACTTTGCGATTACCAAAAACATTCCTAAAAATATGATAAGCGCCGAATGCCTTTCGGATCTTTCATCTGATCACTCGCCTTACCTTTTTACTCTACTTCGACATCCAGGAACATGGGATCAATCATTAAAACTGACCTCACATAAAACTAATTGGTATATTAGCTCACACATTGAGCTAAGTCCTCACCTTACCCATTCACTGGAATCTGTACTCGTCTCTGCAAGCCTACAAATCGAACAGCTCGTCCTCGAAAAGCGACGCTTACGTCGAGAATGGCAATTTCACAGATCGCCATCTGCTAAGCAAAGCTTAAAACATACCTCACGTCAACTTGCTCAAGCTCTACAGCAAGAAGAAACATATGTCCACCGCCGCTACAATGAGCAATTGTCAACTAATAGTACGAAACACTCACTATGGAGAGCTCACCCAACTCTGAGCTCACCGAAAGAAACCGTGATGCCTATTAGATATTCCACAGGCGGCTGGGCGCGCAGTGACGCAGACAGAGCCAGCACGTTTGCAAACCACCTTAAAAATGTCTTCCAACCAAATCCTGCCACTGATGCGTTTACTTTGCCGATTTTATCATATGAGCCCCAGCCTCAACATGAGCCAATTGAGTTTCGCCCAAACGAAATCGTAAACATCATCAAAAGACAACTGAATTCGAAAAAAATCCCCGGGCTGCGACCTCATAACTACCAAAATGATCATTGAGCTCCCATACTGCGCCGATTGCCATCTCACCCAGCTCTTTAATGCCATCGCAAAACTTAGCCACTTTCCAGTAAGATGGAAAAAGTCAATTATAATAATGATAGCAAAGCCGGGGAAAGTCCACACTATCCCCACGTCATATAGACCTATAAGCCTACTTTCTTGCCTATCTAAACTCTTTGAAAAATGCTTAATGACTGAGATAAACATTTACCTGAGAATCCAGGAAGGAATCCCGTCACACCAATTTGGGTTTCGTGAAAAGGATGGAACAATTGAGCAGGTCAACCGGATAACATCAGAAATTCGAAAAGCTTTCAAAAAACGAGAGTACTGTACAGCCATATTTTTAGATGTCTCTCAAGCATTTGATAGAGTCTTGCTAGAAGGTCTAATGTACAAGATCAAGACAATGCTCCCCTTCAAAAAACTGCCCGCCGATTACGTTAAACAACACTCTGTTCCCACAAGCAAACGAAGTAACATACCTAGGAGTAGATCTCGACAAAAGACTCACATGGCGCCGGTTTCATTAACATTTACGGTGAGTTAAAACAACTTACAGAAGGTTTTAATGCCGTTAAAGACCAATTCAACAGTTAAAGCACCTTAATGAATCGCCAAAGCGTAAAAAAACTAGCTGGATTCTCCTGAAATCACATTGCTTGATGCTATAGACCAGGGCTGCTCAACGCTTATGCTCTGAGAGCTCATTTGTTTTTGTAAATGCTCGGAGCATATTGGCTTGATTGCTAATAAACTTTGAGCGCTTACACTAACAATTTTTCGTTTTCCGCTTTCCGCCTCATTTCGTCACTAAGCGCAATATAATTTGTTACTGTTTTTTTCTGGAACATATTTGAACACTTGTACTGGAATTCATTCTTTGTAACTTCTTTTGAAATTTATAGTTTATTTTGCAAAGAAAAACTTTTTCTTCCTATCAGTGCACAGCTGCAAACCAACACAAAAACATTAATAAATTCATATGGGCAAATTAAGATTGTCACTGGTAATTTTGTTAAAAAAAAAATTTTTTTTTATTCTATATAAAACGGTGTTAAACATTTTATTTTATTTCACTAATATATGACATTTTATTTCTTACATTCCAATTCCGAACTTTCGATCTCTTTCTCGATCCAAAATGGACTTCAGCTTAATTTTTAAATCCTCTCCAACAAACCTCGGCCAGAAGCTTTTCGCTGAGTTTCAAGGATTTTTCCTTTTTTTTAGAATATAAGCTTAGGGTGAAATCATGGCATCCTATTGTGAAATTCAAATATGCTGACCGATGCGATTTGTTTGGGCTTGGGTCGAAATAGTTTGAACTTAGAATGCAATTGATTGGGCTTCGAGTGGAAGCTTATGTTTACTTTAAGTTTGGTTTGCTTATCTTGGCAGGGAAACCAAGAGCGGACTCAAAAGCCAGAGACATTGGCAAAGATAAAGGCAAATACAGAGGCATTGGCATTGCTTAAATTGAATTTTAGAAATTGTTCATAAATCCCATAAGTGGCTCGGTTTAACGGGATGTGTTAGTAAATGCTCTGCTGTAAAACGATTTTGAGCACCCCTTTTGTAGACTTTATAAATGAAAAATACAAGTCTCAAAGTCATAAAGTGGAAGTTTTTGAGAAAATTTAAATAAAAAATAATATATAATTTTTCGCACATAAACATGAATTTAATGCAGAAGTCTCATTTCTTTCCATCTTCAATACGCAGCAAGTTCCGTTTCTTCCCGGCGGCTCAACGTTAACTGAACACGCCACGCACACTGTAAGCTAATTCACAGATCTGATAAATCATAATTCCATCTCTTTTCTACGCCTCTACGAAGGGACCTTACTCAGCAGCAGAGTATATCTCTTCTCTGAACCGCTATGCGTTCAGAGAACCATTAGCGACATCGTGTCGCCATTCAAAGATGTGCATGCATGCACAATGTTCAAACCATTCTTTGCCACACATAAACAGTGGGCTAATTTACCATTCTACGACAAATTCATATAAAATAATATTGTCACCTCACGCTGTAAATCTTTAATTATTAATTGTAATCTGAAGAATATAAATACGTCTACTTGACGCGACCAAATAAGAAACTTGTCCTCCCGGGGGAGGATCTATTTAAAAATAAGTGCTATTGAAGTAGCAGCATGTCCACGTCTCCCTTTCGCGGGTCACCAAAGAGTCACAGCAGATTGTGGGCCTACAGATAGTAATTTTAAGAATCTCATGTCAGCTATTTAAGCAGGAACTTATACTTTCTTGTCATTTCTCCTGGATCGGAACTTACAGTTTATGATCAACATTTACCAGAAATAAAATGTTTTATCTCTTCATTCGGACATGGACCACTTGATAGTTTTGAAGGATTTTAATCTGCCAGATATCTTGTGGTTCTGTCCAACCAACTTGCTTTCCTCCCAATTCTTATCTGATTATGACTGTGTTGATGGTCTTCCTTATCTTTCAATACATTAAATCTTATATTTGTTTTGAATCCGTCCAAGTTTGAGGTATTTAGCATATCTCCCAGAGGACTTTTTCTACCCAACCCTAAAATTAACTGTTTTCCTGCCCATCCAAGAAACTCCTTTGACCCTAGTTTATCATGTGAAAACTGGATGTTTCCGTAAGTCTATCTTTACTAAACTAAGTTACTGGATTTCTGAGACCAACTGGACATATTTTTACAATTGCATATAAACTTGGCTAAGCCATCAACTGACTCTGAAATTGCTGATTTATTTGCTAAGTTCTATCAAAGTAGCTATTGTACGGCTTTTTTGGCCAAGACGATTTAACCTTGCCGGTTAAATAGTTAAAATTACTATAAAAGCCAGAAAATTGCTTAATCAATCATATAAGAAAGATACCTGCGCTGCCCTAATTTTTTTTGCCGGAAACAATAACGAGTTCTGATTGATAAAAAATTATTTAACACACATTTATTTTAACAACTTTATTTGCACCATTATAATTTCCTCTTCTCCTTTCTCTAAGAAGGCGTGTTAACAATGTGTATATTGTATTCAAACAATGTTCATAAGTCGTTCTCAACAGATTTGGAAAGTCTTTCAGCTATGTTCATTTGCTTAACAAGAGTGAATACGGAAAATGAAAATTTGGTGACCTGCAAAAATACAAAACCATTATTGTTAAGCCTCGTATTGCCCCAAAAGTTTTTAAGTGCTTACACTTATGTTAGTTCCAACAGATATTGGAAATACATTCATGGCCATGAAGGTTATCGGCTGCTGTAATTTTTGCAAAAAGTACATGAGTGTCTTTTGATAGCGTTTTTCCCCATCGATCCAGTTGGACTGAAAAAGGGCATGTGCCAAATTGTAGCAGTCTTCTGTAAGATAATTGCATAGTATACAGAACGGCGATGTCTCCAGAAGTACAGCCGCCATAAAGGACAGTGCTGCGATGGCTGAGCCCAAGTTAGCAAATAACACAATGTTAATTAGGGTGAAGCCAAGCACCAAGCCCACTACCAGAAACTGCACAAAAATGGTACCAGAGATAACAGGGCGCAGGCAGTCGACAAATCTGTAACACGATTTTACGAAAAATGGTTATACATAGATGATTTTATATAAATATTTAAATTGTCAAAGACCGATCGTTTAACTTCTAAATTAAATTTTTACTTTAAATATCGACTACCACAGAACAGAACTCCTACCAAGACCGCGGTAGGATTTACACGTTAATGCTTAACTTTCGGTAATTTCAGATTTATTTTATGCAACGGCTTCTTGAATTGCTGGGCCTTGAAATAAGCAGCACTGATCGTACTGATTCGCATCGTTTTAGACTGAATCTAGCGTCGTTCGTATTTTAATAAGATAAATACCTGAAATATTTGTCGTATTTAGTGCAACAGAGGCTTTTATATCACTGAAAGGACCTTAAACCGATTCTGCAATCACTAGTTTTAAATCATATAGAACATTTATGGGATATGCTCCAGAAAAGGGCACCATATCCTCGAAAGAATCCTTAAAAACACCATTAATACCTGAATGGGAGCTAATTGACCCATGATATTTTTAATTAGTTTATTCGTCTCGCTGGAGTCGATTGAATCCAATTCAGCTATAAATTCCGATTTTAAGGATTCCATTAATAAAATGTTGTCCTTTTCTTAAGCAAATTCAGTAGTTAAGGGATTTCTCACAAACATTTCTCTAAGGTTTTTAAAAGTTTTTCTCTTACTGTACAAGTACAAAAAAATATTTCTTTGCGGTTCGTTTAACTGTGTTATATTTTGGCATTTTGTAGCAAATAAGTCAAGAATGACGCCAAACATTTTTGGGATTCTTTTGAGCTATAAACCAATAGTAACCATTTTGAAAATGAAAACCATTTAAAAACAGCAAATGTCCCTCAGGCCCCTCGCAACGAATACTTTGTTCACTAACTGTATGTGCATATGTAAATAAATAGTAAAATGTTTTATCCCGTCAGTTGATAAAGGACAGCGCTAAGGAGATCAAATTTACGAAGATTTAGTTTCACGCCTTAATTCGATTTATCTCAGCTTAATACTAATTTCTTCTTGCAAAAACCTTACGGTGGTTGATTGTACATAAGTTTAGGAGCGAAATCGCCCGCTTGGGATATTGATTGGACCTGACAGTAAGATTGTCATTCAGCACTCAGTGAATTGCCGTATGTGGACTGTTTACATTGATTCAGCGTGGGATCGCCTACTCTGCATATTCTTCTTTCTTGGTACATAATTGAATATGTGCATGTGTCACATCCCTCCCCTTTAAAAGGGTTTCTTATGCTTGGTGTGACATTTCTGGGTACAATTGTTGTGGCTTTTGATTGTTTGGTTCTTGTTTTCCAAATTTTGTATATAAAATGGTACGCGGATTTAGTGTCAATATTTGTGATAGGTCAAGAAAAATAATAAAAACAATAACTACAATTGATATAATTACCTAAAGTGTTGTATTATTTTCTGAAAGTAATTTTAAGACGCCATTGTGTTCTACCATTTTCATCTTACTTACATTAACCGATGAATATAACGGTGTTGAATCAAATTCCGGACTTAAGGAATTTTCGCTTTAAATAATATTTCCAATTTTAACTCAACATTGTTTTATTCTAATAATTTTGTTTCCGTTTATTTTTATATAGCCATTTAATTCTTTGCAATTTTGTGCGATTGTAGTTTTAGTTAGATTCCATGTAAGTATAATATTTGGTTCAGCGTATAAAATCATTTAATTTGAGGGTGTTGGTATAATCACAAATTGGTTTCTTGTGCTTAATTATATTTTTAATATATTTCAATCAACTATAAATTTTTCTCGACAATGTTAAGGGTTGAGTGGGATTTTAAAAGGCATTTTGTGTTCTATCTATGCGTAGTTTGGGATGACATTACGATAAAAACTAGTTAAGATACAAGAATAAGAAGTCGGCCATAGAAAATTACTTAAATTTATTTGCAGAGTCACCAATCGAGAGTACTTCAGTAAGAGAGAGTAGATTAAGCTACTACTAGATAGTAGATGCAACGCGTTAGCCCTAGCTTACAGAGTTGCCATACAGTTAAATTGTTTCAACTAAATTTACGTTATATTCGAATGCACCTCCGAAATACTCTCCTCGTTGAAATTACGCAGATCTTTCAATTACAATCAAAAGGAAGAGGATCTAATTTGTAAATTGCACTAAGCAGAGGGCCTTTAGCGGTATGCAGATCCACGCTTCGTTTTCGGCAGTCTCGACCGTAAATACCTCCAGTGACTCTTGCTACGTTCCAGCATCTCGGAGAAAGGTTGCCCTCATGCACTATGACAAGTTGGAAAACGGTTGGATGTGTACATTCATAGAAAATAAGAAGGAAACTTGGGCTCGAATTATGTCAATGGTCCGGGATAGGATGTCTTAAAAGTTTATGTGTCCTGTAGTTAGAAGAGACAAGAAATAGTTTTTCCCCAAAGTAAAGATTGTTTGAGAAAAAGGAGCCAATAGAAGCCGAGTTTAAAAATGGAGATGGACTAAATTGAAATTAATAACTTTTCATTTGCAAGTCAGGGTAGAAAAGAAGAAGGAAACTTGTGCTCGAATTATGTCAATGGTCTGGGATAGGCTGTCTTCCCTTTAGGTCCTTTGGTTGGTAGCACAATTTGTAATTTTGATAAATATATGAACTGCCTTCATTTGGTGTAGTTCTAAGACTGATTTTTATTCTCGCTCTGAGTACATATGAAAGCTAACATTAGAGTGGGAGTACATATGCTATGTTTGCGAAAAAGCGTAGAGCAGCGTTTTCGGCCCAATGATTGTGGCCCGGTTGTTTACAAGACTCAGCTTTGGGATTTCGCTGCGTCGACGGTTCGATGTCCGGGTTGAACGACACCGCCGTTAGTGGGACATTGTCCTAGGGGGTTTGGGTCATCTGCATGACATCAGCGGTAACTCCTCCCCCTTAGCACGGAACGATGGCCATAAGGAAGGTAGGGCTGGAATGACGATAGGGTCCGCAGGATAATCAGGATTGATAACGCAACGAGCATGTATAAGATTGACAGGTGGGTTGTGCCACGTTCCTTTATGGTGGTAACTGCCAATCCATTTTCCAGGTTGCTGGGATGTAGTACTTGGAGGCTTATTGGTTCGACTATTGGAATCGTTGTCAAATTCTGGATGTTTGGCAGGTTTATTTCGATTTTGTCGAATTGTCGATTTTTGGTCCCATTGGCGGAGATAGAGCAATTATCATATTTTATAAGCATAGATCCACTGAAGCTCTTTCTCGAGATGCAATTGGAGGCGGTGTTAAAGTTTTCCACTTTGTGGATCACCATCATTCCCTGTATAGGAACGAACATCTGTGGTTGGTATCCTCTTTGTATTGTGCTGCAGATAGTTTCCTTGTCGTCCAGAAGGTTGTGGTTCAGTGATATACGATGTTAAAAAATTTCGCAAACATGTGTACCACCCACTTTACATACCTCATGTTCTAGTTGAACTTCTATTTTTTGATCTGTTAGAAAGGTTCTTATTTTTTCCATCACGACTGAATTTGGTAAGTATTTTGGGACAATTTTTAATTTGGCAAATAAAAGGCTTTCCGCAATATTAGTTATGCGATTATAAAGTATGTATATGTTAAAGTTAATCCTCAATAAGCTGAATGTTTCAATGTTCATCGTTCATTTGATTAAAAGTTTTGTTCCGGTAAAAATTCATGAATTTGCCTAAAGGTTCCTCTTCCTTCTTTATATATTCGGTTATTTCTTCGAATCTTATGAGGGTCTCATTTTTGAAAATTATATTCATTTCGGAATTTTCGTGTAAGGTTTCGATGTCTTTATATATCTTCGCTTCGTCGTTGGCGTCCATGATTCCCGAAACTATATTTACTATGTGGCCTAATCCGTTAAAGTCCCCTTCTGAACCTACTTCTCTGACTGTTGGGAAGTAAGGAGCTTAACCTCTGCTGAACTTGGAATAGATTCCGCTGTAGAGTGAGTTTGAGCTTCTCGAACCCATGTTCGTTAGGTAAATTCCCTATCACCTCGTGTATTTTAGCCGTTAAAACCCCATAGTCGCTCAGGTGAATAACGTGTTTAAAAATTTTAAATGATTTTACCACTCTCGTTGTTCCCAAGTTGATTTTTATAAGGGGTTGATCTCTATCTAAGGTTTCGCTAACGAGCCCATAGGTTATTCCCAAAGTTAATCTGTAAAATTACATCATAAGTGTGAATGTCCAAGTGGTTCTTAGTATTAAGGGGTTTGGTCTGTCCTTTGACACCTGCGCCAAAAATGTTGATTGATTATGGCTATGGTTATGGAGAGATAATGTGACCCAATTAAGAAATGGGCTGGCAACAATGCAGCTCTATCATTTGGGTCGTCCAATACTGGAGCGATGGGGCGTCAATACCAAATGCATTCTACTTCTGCGTCGACGGTCAAAAGCTCTTCGTTGGAAAGGTTTGCTTTTGCGATGTTTTTAAGCAGTAGCGCTTTAGCTGTTTTATCAGTCGCCTCCCACAGGCGGCCGAAATGTGGGGCTCTGGGAGGAATGAAGCAAAATGAGAATCCCTTGCGAGCGCTATAAAACTCTAGAAGACTTTTGGATCCAGGCTCCAGTAATGCACTTTGGAACTCCTACATTTTATTTTTTGTCCTATCGCAGTAAATGTGTTGGGGCAATCCACGCCGGGCAATAAACCATCGAATGCAAGATAAGAAAGCATTAGTTAGTTAGACTTTAAAGGCTTTTCCTTTAGAAATAAATTGATCTCCGTGCTATATACCGTTTGTTGAATTTGTGCATCAATTTACCTCGATCGCTGGTACGTGTACTACATCTTCAACATACTCATTATTACACATTCGAAATATGAAGGAGAGCGTACGCAGGATACGAAAATATGACGATGACCGCTCGATAAGATCATCTATAATTCTGGGTACTACAAATCACTCGA